ATAGGGTTAAACTTCTAGAGGAAATCTATTTTTTACTTTCATACTCCTGGATGAAATGGGCAATTTTTGCCTGTATTCCCTAATACCTTACTGTTCCTAAGACAAGACCGTGCCATTATGAAGAGGTTTACCTTCTAGAAATCTACAAGAAGTCTAAATTTTTTTTATTTTCAATCCATTGGACGGAAGTTATTTCTGTCTGTACTCACAAATGACGTCTAGCGTTACTTTTCCTAAGACAAGACTGTGCCATAAAAGAAGTTCAATTTCTTGAAGTCTATTATTATTATCATTTTTTTATTTTCATACCTAAGGATGAAAGAAGTAAATTCTGCCTGTACTCACAAATGACGTCTAGCGTCACTGTTCCTAATCCGTCTGGTTGGACGTCGTTTCTCGCCGTGCATTGGTAAATCCCTTCGTCTGAGCTGGAAACGTTTGTTATGACTAAACTAGCACCCCTACAGTTTTAACAGAAAGAAAAATCACATCAGAGAGATTGGCTGGTAGAGAAAATCTTTTGATATATCATAAAAGATTCCTTGTAACTATCAACAAGAACTACCTATGTGATTTTGGCGTACGTAGGATCAATGTGAGCCGGAAGAATGGGTAATACTGCATGACAAAGAGGACAGGGCGAAAATTTCTGTTCCACTGATTTACTGCTGTTTTCATGACGAAAAAAGACTTAGATTTAGGGTTTCCAGAGGAGATCATCCATAAAAATTACTTGATAAAAAGTGGTAATATCCATATATTCTGATGCATCGAATTCCAATGATTAGCTGCTGTATATGACAACTATTTTGTGTGATGTTCTGGCCACTTACAGAAAACTCAATTTTTCAGTAATGTCACACGACAACGTTAAAAGCACTGGATTGAATCAAATGCGTTGCATCTGCACAATCATTGATTTACACAATGACCCATATCTAGATCAATAAGTATTGATGAAGTTCTTCGGAACTTTCAGAACCTGACCTAGTTTCGCTGAAAGTTGGCAGACTTCCCGAGATTTTCCTCCAGATGACGACAGATGGAGGGTTGCTGTCTATTGAACATGACAGATTTGCAATCCCTCCTTCTGAAACGCTGAAAGACATCTTTGGCACCCTGACAACAGGCGGATCTGCAACACAGCAACAAACTCCGGCACATCAATCCATTGTGTTTTTATGCAATTTTACAAACTAACCTAACATCAACGGAGAAATTATGATAGGTCGATGAAGGTTAGACATCCAGGTAATGAGATACACAAAAAAATTATCACTTAAGCAACTGAAAAGATTTTGAAAACTACCAGACGTTTCGAAGTAGCATCCACTACTTTTCGTGTGTTTTCAAAATCCATCTAGCTGCATGAGTAACGATTTCCTATGTCCTTATGGACAAGTTATGAGTTTTATGTAATATTTGCAAGCAGACTTCCTTTTAAGTTATTTCATGTTAGAAATTCCCTGTATGGGCCTTCAATGGCAGCTATACAGCATGCATATTCCTATCACCCAAGATCCTCACTTTAGATAGGTTTAGATTTCTAACCTAAAATGTATTGCTGGTTGCAGTGAACAAGTAATCTTATCAAAACTTGATACTTTCCACGAGTGACTGGCAACGATACTCATCTAAGCGCAAGCCCCTAGCCCCCATTCACGACATTGTACATGTACACAAGCTTGTACTGTTCCTGATGTGCGATAGCACGTTTCTTCAGTCGCATTAGGCTAGGCTATAAAATCCTGAGGAGCTCGTATATCATGTTGTCAGGTCCAATTCTACGACATGAAAAGTTTCAAGGACAGGACAATCAAGTGGGATTTACTCACACAGCACTTTGATGCGGGTAGAAGTGTTCTGTGGCGTGATTACTCCAGGGAAGCCCTGGTCTGCCGAACACGTCAGCCGGGCACCGTTGTCCCATCTCGTCAGAAACGGTATTACCAGGTCCAGGGACACCTGTGATATATGAGTTATGTCTGATACTTTCACAGTGATTCTTTATGGACTCAACAAAAAGTACAGGGTCTTCTGTGTGGTCTTCTACAACCAAAGATCTGATATAGCTGAATACATGTATGATAACGTCATCTAACGTACAGAATATTTTATGTTTGCTGCAAAGTACATTACACAATGTATGTCAGTGGCAACAATAAAGGTTTAACTATTCTCTAACATGACGTCTCTAAGATTGATAAGCCATTCCACTCTCTGTTTAGTTAGCTCTAGGTTGACTTTCTGTTTTATTATATATCACCATGATTTGCTGTCTGAATTATTATGTATTGTTGCCATGCTAGTACGTTATCTACGTTTTATAGTATTTACGATTTCTGTTTGTTCTCTGATTTGCTTATCTCTTTGTTTTGAGTAATTTTTATCATTTGTAATAATGTGTTATGGGGATATCCCCCTGGAATAATTTCAAAAGCATCTCATGGCGGTAATAAATAAGTTCTGGATAAATTTTAAGATAAAGGAACCTTTTGGTTGTCTGTGGTTTGCGAGGCTGCCGGGATGACGTGGAGTCTGGTGCCGTTGAACCAGTGCAGCTGCGGCAGGGGACGCCCGCCCTCAGACACGCAGGTCAGGGCCAGACCCTGCCCGACAGTACGGGCTGTCAGGTCACCAACAATGGTCGGGGCCTTCGGTGGAGGAACTATGATCATAAAGAAAATATCATGTTGTTATCATACATGGTAGTAACCCCAGGACAAATCCTACTGTGGCAAGGCAGTATCCATCGGCCATTAGGTAATGGCTGAAAATGGACTAAAACACAACGTTATATACATGGTAGTAATCAAAAAGCAAATCCAAATGTGGTAAGGCAGTACTCATCGGCCATTAGGTAATGGTTGAAAATGGACTAAAAACAACATGTTATAAACATGATAGTAATCCAAAAGCAGATCCTACTGTGGCAAGGCAGTGTCCATTGGTCGTTAGGTAATGGTTGAAAATGGACTAAAACATAATGTTATATACATGGTAGTAATCCAAAAGCAAATGCCATGGTGGCAAAGCTGTACAGCATCCATTGGCCAGAGATGTATCCAGTAGGCAATGAATAAAAAATGAATTTAGAAATAATCATGTTGTAATCATGCGTGGTAGCAACCTTCAGACACATTAAATGGTGGCATGAAAGTATCCACGGTGGGTAATGGTTATAACGTTACAGTTCTGACCAATGAATACTGCCCTGTAGCATCTGAAAAACTGTAGAACTACCTGAAATCAGGTAGACCCACGTAAAAAAACAGGTCAAATGACCTGAGTGAAACTTCTAGTTAAATGGAAAAACTGAAACTGAGTACTATTTCTGAGTTAGCAGCTCATACAATTCATCTGGTACAACTTTTTTAAGCACAGGATGTACTTGATCATGACCTCATATCCAGCAAGGATTACCAAGGCGCTGATTGGGTTTCATTAATAGCATTTTACTCACGTAATCGTCTCTAAGGATAATGAACTTGATGTGCTTTGATTCAAAATTAATATTCTGTAATACCGACAGATTGGCTCCGCATTTAATTATCGCTATAGTGTAGATAGTTATCAAGTTGCCATGTCAGTGTCTCCCAACATGAATTATTCTAGCGCATTTAAAGCGACCTGTCATTATCGTTTTGTAGTTATAAAGAAAAGTTATTCATTTGACATTGAATCAAGTTCAAACGTAAACGGTACAGATTTGGACAGACAGAAGACTTTGAACTCGTTCATTTATATGAATTAATGAATATTCAATATGAAAAAGATGTGAACATAGCTGGGTATATCACAAAGGGTAAAATAGTATTCGGGGCTTTTGTGTTAAAATGTGATTGCATTATTTGGGAGGAAAATGTATCATATACATGTACCTTTGGCGTTTCAGGCACCATGTAATGGAGAATGGCACTTAGCTCTGACAGCATTGATTCTAACACTCGCACGTTGTACATACAGCTATACATACGTGAGAGGAAAACTGTAGATTTAACCATAATACAACATGATATGTTTTGCATTTTCAATGTTTGACAACATTTTTTTTGTTCAATTGCAGCGACAATAGCAGGTTTAGATTTAGAATAAAATCTGTCACTTGGTCAATACGTCACATTTTTGTTTGGAAATTTAGACGAACGATCCATGAAGCTGATCAATACTACCATCGCCACGCTAGTAGTGTCCAATATGTTTGGCTTTAAAGTGTATCATTCATACTGATCCGGGCTTGACGTCCTACGTGGTGTGCATGCTTGTGATGGTACTGCAGTCCCGCAGACAGATGGTTCCTCCGCGAAATTACATTTGTCAGCATTAACGTTCGGTCAATGGGCATGAATCAGTCGTATTATGGTCCGCGTCTCTGTCTTAAAACCCGATTCTTCGACCGTTCTACTGGCATGTGGTCTGTATGAGTTTCCGATAAAGACCAAGCGTTTCTTTTCTTTTAAACAAAAGTGTTCGCTGAAAGACAACTCAATGTCATAAGTCAACGACCCTCCGTTTCTGTTTAGCCAGACTTGCAGAACAATACTGCCTTGCTGCTAATATTTCCTTTTAACTTTAACTTGTCTAGCCATATAGACAGTTTGTAGGGTAATTGATGTTCGTGTCTCGAAGTCGTACAGTCCATACAACCGATAATAACAAGATTCCCTCCGCTCGATAACGGCCAAAATGGGCAACTTTCTGCTTATTGGAGCTAAAGTAAGGGTTCTATTGATACAGCTTAACGATATCAACATGAAGCCGACGACGTATATCAGTATTTCTCTCGATAACGACCCGAAAGTAGCCTTGAAAGTCGATTGAACTGGATTGGAGAGACAATAAACGTAGTCTAGAAGTCTGTTCCATTGGTGCTTGCCTGCTCATGGATCTGTGTTTGAAGAATGGCAATGGAGGAGATGGTCGCCCCCCTCCCATAGCACATATGGAACTTCTTGCGTTGTAATCATTTGTACATGATTGTGTTCCTGTTCAGGCGACCCACAGATCTAGATATTCAACTATATCATCCGCTTCCAACAGTTTTATGCTACCAACAGTTTCATTTTTGTATAGTCATATTATCATGTATGTTTCAGGCGGCAATGGATACGACCATTCCCTTACTTTCAAATAGTATCTATGACACCTGGATACTGTGGTGCTATCTTGGCTCGTGCCAGGCGCTTGTGTTAAATATTCCTAATATTATCGTCAGTCCTTGACAAGAAGTTATATGCCAACTTTTGTGAAAGCCTCGGGAGACGAATGATGATTAAGAAACTTGCGAAACCAATCCAGAGGTAAAGGTCAGTGTTATTTCATTAACATTTAGAATTCTTTGGATTCAGTCACTTGTATTTCGTTGAATGGAAGTCCTCCTCGTTCCATGATCAACACCGAGACCTAACTGTTAAAGAGCTCACGAATCACGACTGGGGAAATACTTCCTGAATACAAGTTAATGGTGCCTGGGATATTCAATGACGCCGAAGTCAGTTGCAGTACGTGATCTCATCACGACTGGCAGACGCTTTTAGAAGCTATTTTAGGAGGCGTCAGCGAAGGTCCAAGGTTTTTGTAGTAACGGCAACTTGAGCGATGGTTGTTTTAGACAGGATATTCATCACAGCTACCCCAATGCGGCTGTAGTTTGTTTCAACGCATTCATTCCCTATCTGGTCCTACTTTTAAAGTCATTGCGTCACTTTAGTTTAGAATGTACATGTATCATCCAGCTTGTTTGATAGCTCGTCCTCCCTTCATCTGCAGTAAAATCTTTAAAAATGAGGCAGCTTTTACCCACTGAAGATAGGCCTGGTCCTTTGTGTTTTCCCTATGCAGCAATTATTGTCTAAATTGGGCACAGATTTACAGTTTTATTGCACTTCCATCTTTCTCTGCAGAGGAGAAAGTGACAATTTTCACGCAGAATAGGCAAGGTTGGTCCTTTGTATTTTCCCGATGCGGCAATTAGTGGTTGCAGCGGGAATAGAATTGCAGTATTAAGAGAATTAGAGGACTGCGTGAAAGACCAGGACTTGTTAAAGGCGTGGAGAATCTCACTTAAGCTATACAGAGCTTCATTCGCCCGTGCTCTGACAGATGATCGCCCGCAGCAACGCGGGATTGATGTTATCATCTGTGGAACGCGCGCTGAATATACTGCCATGCAGACCCTATCAAACAAAAATCAGGCCTTCTTTCGGCGATTTCAGAGGATAAGTAGGTCGTAGGTGTGAATGATGGTGATTGCCGTAGGAGAAGCTTCTATCTTGGGCATCTTTCCTTTATTAAGCAATAAGTTACAACTTTGAAAGAACTGAATGTTGCGAGGTTGATACGTTATCATATTTCCAGATGCATGATACATGCGAGGTTTCTTTCGTCCATCTGTAAAGCAACACCTGGCTTGAATAGAGATAGCCAACTTTACTTCCAAATACCTGATGGAATGTCATTGAACGTGAGTTCCGGATCTTGGTAATAATTTATGTGTGTCTTTCACTCTGAAGTAGTTTTGGTTTAATTTATCACTTTATTTGAAATCACCATCAACGTCGCATCACTCTACTGCTAATGCTGAGGTCATATTTCTAAACAGGGGACCGGCCAGATTGTTTGCATCAAAGAAATATTAACAATTAATATCACGAATATGATATAAAAAGTACTCATGATAAGTTTCTAAACGTTTTATTCCGTGGTTTCCTTTCTTTTATATCGTACTCTTCGTTCCCGAAACCGCCCGGCCTGGCCCCGCTTTGGAAATGTGACTTCAGCATAAGCTTGGTGACTTCGTACTTACCAACGACTGTTAACTTGGCATCTTTGGTTTCCCTAACTGAGAAGACGCTACAGCGGTAGTTCCCTTCGTCTTCAGGGCGAGCGTTTCTGACCAGGAGGTTGAACTCCCCGCTCTGGCTGTTCCCCACTACCGAGAAGCGAGAAAACTCCGGGGCGACGTTACTGCCAGAAGAGATGTGGTGGAGTTTGGCCTCCGTCTCTGGGTTGTACCAGTGCCAATTGACTACGTCATTCGGAGAGAGGCCGTCAAACGCACAGGTCAAGGTCACACTCTTCCCCACTCGGACGGCAGTAGACTGAGGGAAGTTCCGATAGGAGGGGACGTTCGCTATCACTGCAGCAAAAGAAGATATTATCCTGAACTAGAAATGTCACATCAATTTTGCAAAGCAACTGCATAAAGTTTATCTTCTCATACTGTATGGTCTACTCTGTTGATTCTTACTCAAACACATTCATGGTGACAAGAGTCTAAATCCCACCTGCTATAAAATTGCACCATGAGGTAACCCAACACGTTACCATGGTGACAGATGTCTGGTTCAGGTCATTGACCTTATTTGTTTGGAGAAGAAGAAGAGGAAGACTTTGAACAAAGACAATGTTTCACTTCAGTAAACATTAGAATATATATATATATATAATAGAGAAACATTTGTCAAGCAGGTTGTAGTTTCAGTGTAGGTGCAAATTGCAAGGAATTTACTTTAAGAATACTGGATGGGGAATGATTCTGGAGAATATAATACACCATTGAGTAACAGTTTATTAGGAATCGGTAGGGGCAGAGTAGGTGTGCATCTTAGGGAATCTACTAATACTGGGTGAAGAATGATTCTGAAGAATATATATCATTGAGAAACACTTGATTGGGAATCTGCAGTTGCTAGAGTAGGTGTGTATCTTAGGGAATCTACTAGTACTGGGTGAGAAATGATTCTGGAGAATATATATCATTGGGTAACACTTGATTAGGAATATGAAGGGGTAGAGTAGGTGTGTATCTTAGGGAATCTACTAGTACTGGGTGAAGAATGATTCTGGAGAATATATACCATTGGGTAACACTTGATTAGGAATATGAAGGGGTAGAGTAGGTGTGTATCTTAGGGAATCTACTAATATTCTGAAGGGAGGAGTGATTCTGAAGAATATATATCATAGAGTTACATTTGATTAGCAAGATGAAGTGTAAATGAAGGTGCATACCTTGGGAATCTACTTTTCGAATACTGGGGGAGGAATAATTCTGAAGAATATATATCATATAGAGCAAAATTTAATTAGGAAGTTGTAGTGTAAGAGCGGGTGTTTATCGTAAGTAATATACTTTATTAATACTGGAGGTGTAGTTTACAATGGCAATATGGACTATCATACACATAAAGTGATTCTATTTGATGTAGAATTGAATGATTCAATTCTACATCAAATAGAATCACTTTATGTGTATAACAATGGCTAAAAAGAGATGCATAGTTACGCGGAAAAATGTTTGCTGTTATGGGCATTTCAGAGCGAATCTTATGGGTTCCTTCAAATACTACAGCTACCGAACAATGCAACTGGCAGTGGCATCAAGTTTCATAGAATTATTAGGCACCTGATTTCTGGTTTATTCTTAAGCAGAAATAATATTTAAAGATTGCCATAAGAACGACAAAACATCTTACTTTAACCTCTAATAACATGTGGCCTGTGTCAATATCGTAACCACGTTGACTGCAGGCTGCACATTTGCTGATAACACGGAATACCGTGTTTTGACTGCTAATAATTCTATGTTGCGTCTTCAACAACAGGTTAAGCAAACAAGGTCAACAAATACTTTAACTTGGTCTGACGTGTTTAGAGATACAGGGCAGCAGACACAGTTGAAGAAGACGGAGTATCTTGTTAGGATTACCAACTGCTCACGAAGTTCTGACGATAAGATTTAACTAAAAGCAGCCGACCACGTGGAAGTCGTTGTTGATAACCACATTGAATCAATCACGCCCAAAACAAACCAATACTCCAGTCGATGTAATATCTCCAGGGACTGGATGTAACGTGAAGAGGCAATACATTGTCCGTTGAATAATTGTGTTGTAGAACCACGTGGCCTACTTTGGAGTGAGCTTAATGTGGCGTGAGTTGCAGCCAATCTTCCCAAGTCATAACAACGTCAAGGAAGTACTCCACAGCCATCGCTCAAAAATATATCTTTCTTGTGAGCTTGGCATGGATAGGATTTGAGCTCCGAATATTCACATAGCCGAATATGCCCCCCCGAACACTACCGAACTCACCCGAACCATGGTTAGGTCGGGAGTAAGGTAGGCTGTGGTTGGAGCTAGTATTCGGCGAGGTTTGCTACTTTTTAGTTTTAATTAAAACAAGAAGCCATAGGTGACAATCCTCCGTGAAGTTTTATATATTTCAATAAAATCCCAAGCGTCAACGCCAGACCTACTGTGCAGACATTATAATTTCACTGTGGGGTCAATATTCATTGTGGGGTCGTCTGGCGTAGCGGCAGAGTGCGCGACTCGGAACTTAAAGTCCCGGGTTCGAGTCCTGACATGCCACCGATCTTGTGCCCTTGGGAAAGGCACTTTACACGACTTTCCTCACTTCGCTCAGGTGTAAATGAGTATTGTCCTGTCATGTATTTGTCCCCTGTGTTGGTGGCGGCATTAATATAAGTTGAAAAAACTTGAGTGTGTCGTCACCACGTCTGGTGATTACATGTTGGAATAAAAAAAAAGACATTATAATTAGGCAACGGTTAATACAATGAGGGCGCGTCACAAGCATAAAACATACAAAGAGCTAAATCCATTACTGCTCCCAGGGCGTGTAAAGATACTGTGCTTCAAGTTCGAAGTTCATTTTAATTACACACACACAATCATTGCATTCACATAAAGATCGGACTATCATGGTCGTGTCTAGTAACAAAGACAGCCACACCGTCTTACTGTGCCTGTACCTAATTAAGCGCGCCTGGAACAGGCCAGCAACAGTAAGCACCGCGGTAAGCACCGCGAGTGTTACTGCCGCCGGCCAGATAACCAGGATATCTGCTTACAGAACCTCTGCTACCAGACAACTGCCTAAACCTACGGCCTATTCCACAGGATTGTAAAAGTAGGGATGTTTCTAAAATATGCATTTACTCCAATATCAAAACAGCTACGGTAAAAATAAAAAGACGTGCATCATCCCGGACATAATGCAACACCACATGCGAAATTACACAGAAATGCGACGTACGGAAGAATGCGTTTTGGCTGCGAACATCTTCCAAAAAACTTGGCATCTCTTAACCATGGGCAAAAACATCTGGAACCACTTATAAAAACCACCCCGTATCTGCATGAACTTTTACCCCCCCACTGCTATTCCAAACAACGCGTTTTTCTGGACCATTCCAATTCGCCTCGTAATTGTAGGGGTGCGTCTGCGATATTACATTGACCGCGAAAGCAGCAACGGCAAAAATACACATTCGTGCATCAACACGGGCATGCCCGCAGACGGCGTATAAAATTGCGTGCCGATTACACAAAGAGAACCCAGTGTTTTGACTGCGAACATGAAAAATCAGCCGATTACAACACTCCGTCCGGAGGTCCTGACCTCCTTCACGGAGTAAAAAAAAACTTCTTTGAAGAACATTTGGCTGGTGTTTGTGTTCGGGAGTAAGTCAGCAGTGGTCGGGGCATGGTTGGGCGTCAAATCTGAGTTAAATAAATGGTTTTTTATTATCCAAACAGTACCCGTGCAGTCGCAGCCTTTAACGGCTGAATTGATGCAGGGTATCACATAATCAATACAAATCACAACAATTACAACAATCAAATAATACACGTGATACACATATATGTCGCAAGGGTCTGTGCGGCTGCCATTCGGCGCCACAAGGTGACCTCAATACGACTTTCCCCAACCGAAGTTAGGTACCCATTCACACCTGGGTGGAGTGAGGAAAGTCGTGTAAAGTGCCTTTCCCAAGGGCACAACGTCGGGGCGCATGTTCAGACATGTACCGGGTACGACTCGGAATCGAACCCGGGTCTCCCGGTTCATAGTCGATTGCTTTATCTACTACACCACCCGACGCCACTACACCACCCGACGCCACTACACCACCCGACGCCACTTTTTGAGTTAGTCAAATTTGACTAAAATTCAACTCAAATTTGACTGGATTCACACAGAAAGGTAGACGTGTCCTGTATGGTCAGACTTTTCCCGAAATTCAACCTACCTTGGTTGATTGGTGGCCGTGAGAGGTTTTGAATGTATGACAGGGGCTTAACGCACTGCCCGACTCTGCGGCCAAAAGAATTACGGGATAGCGTTTTAGTACAAGGAGTGTTGCTAAAATTGCCTATAAAACCAAGAGTGGCTCCAAGTGTTATATGGTCCTATAAACATCAACGTAAAAAATCTATACACACCGGGCAATACAGTAGGTATTATACCCATGACTTAGTGTACTTAATATCGGTTGTTGTGGTCGTCTATTGTGCATACATCACAAATCAAGCCGTCCTCTAACCTGACCTATTCATACCCATGCATCCAAAGTTGCGCCCTTCGGATACAGGTCGATACAAGATTCACCTATAGGTTCATCAAGAATGCATAGCCCCGTGGTGTAGACACAAAATGTCAGGTTTGTAACCTGGCCTATGACAAGCTTGGGGTCATGAAGGAACATTCCATTCTCTGGAGCTAGTTGCTGACGACAACGGGCAAACTTACATTTACCAATGAATGATTGCGGCAGAACTTTGTAAAACAAAGCAATATCTAAACGTGTTCGTATGTGGATTCCGCTAAGGTTTTGTATGCACTGATCTATTAATGGTGTAGACACATCATGTCAGGATTGTAGCCTTGCCTATGACAAGCGTAGGGTCATGTTGAAACATCTTCTCGAGCTAGTTGATGATGACAACGGGCAAACTTACTTTTACCAATGAAAGATTGCCGCAAAAGTTTGCGAAAACAAAGCAGTATCTAAACGTGTTCATATGTGGATTCCGCTAAGGTTTTGTATGCACTAATCTACAAATTATATGCACAAAAGGTTAAAGAATATATGGCAATACATTTTGCATCGGCATACATGGACGCTTCAGAGTGGTAAATAGTGTCACCGTAAAAAAAGAAAGCAGTTCTAATGCGGCAAATAACGCATGCATTGGTGCTTTGATCAGCGAGAGAGCACGTGTAGGATGGGGGTTTTATGTCTTCTTCGCTACAGCTCGGCGGTAGTAAAATAGCGTTTCGCGCGTAACTTTATGGGTGTGAATGGGCGTCTTGGTACTATCACAAGTT